TATATATATATATATATATATATTTTCATACTATCGATGCATAAAACTTAAGCTCTTGTTTCTGCAGTTACCGAGGCAAGATAAGAGAGAGAAAGAAGACGATAAAATTATCGAAGAATATCGTTCGAAAGGCGAATATTACCTTTGTTCATGTCTAAACCAAAATAATAAAACTAATGTACATCGCACCCCAGGGGGCTTATTGTACATCCGTCAATGGAACAACATGCAATACGTATCAAATGCAGCATTTCTCCTCATGGTGTACTCCGATCATCTCAGGGAAACTAATCAAATGGCTAGATGTGAACGTCGTTCCGTGGGCCCCGAAGAAATCTTCGCGTTTGCAAAATCACAGGTTAAATTTTAATTTTTACGAGATATTATAATAACTTCGACTTACTTTGATGTGATTTTATAAATTCGCAATATGTTGTATACGTATGTTAGTGCTCATTAGCTAACCGATTTTACCTCATGAAAAATATCAGGTTGACTATATCTTGGGTTTGAACCCGCGAGGTGTGAGCTACTTGGTTGGCTACGGACCTAAGTATCCCCAAAGGGTGCACCATAGGGGTGCATCGGTGGTCTCATTCAAAAAGCGTAAAAATTTCATAAGTTGTACCCAAGGCTATGATAATTGGTTTGGACGTAAAACCTCGAACCCGAATACGCTAATCGGGGCACTAGTTGGTGGACCGGATTACAAGGACCGGTTTAATGATCATAGAAGAAATTTCATGCAAACAGAGGCTTGTACTTATAACACGGCTCCTCTTGTTGGGTTATTTGCAAAATTAAATGGGCTAGACAGAGGAATCGACATTGAAGATTCATCATTGTTTTTAGCTAAATAAATAGTGTTACGTACCACTATTTATTTAAAAATACCACGTAATTGTTTTATTTACTTTTTGATTGATTGAAGAAAGAAATATACAACCAAAAGGGAAAAAGAAGTATATAAAGTATAGTTTGTTCAATGTATTCATCTTTTGATGTTCCACGATTCACTTTTTATGAATAAAGAAAGCTCCTTCGTCCGATATTATTTATCATATTACGCTTTTCAAAAGTTAATTAATTTTAAAAGTTAAATTAGATCATATTAATTCGATACTGTAAATAAAAAAAAAATATTCTAAAACTATATGAAAAGTACCATAAATTGCATTTTTTTGCATATTAATATGATGAAAAAATACATCTTAAAATGTTAATCAAAGTTTTTATAGTTTGACTCTAAACATAGAAACCATAACAAATAATACCTAACGGAGGGAGTATTCACAATGCTTCTTTATTTTCTCTTGCGTTAAGTTATTGTCTTGTATGATTAAAATATCATTTACATTTAACATATGATCATGTTATTTTTATTCAACGATGATAATAAAAAATTACTATTTTAATTTGAGATTGTTGAAGAAATTCATAAACATGAAATTTTGAATTTACTTTTCTCGAAGGAAACTCATTCAATGACTTTTTTTTTTTGAGTTTTCCATTCTAGATAATGCTAAATGGCTAGAAAATTTGGCGAGAAATTTAAAATGTTTACAATATTTTTTTTCTTTTAAAATAAACTATTTTTTTTATTTTTAATTAAAATATATTAAAATTAAAAAGATAATAATATTCAAAAAATAAAATAACAGTCTGAAATACGTTATTTTACTATTCTAGCCAAATTTTCTAACAAAAGCCCAAAAGGATTTTTTCTTCCACCCTTGGTACCAACATTGGAGTTCAAGTAACTTCAGATTCGCACTGAAAAGTTTCACAATGAAATAAAACGCTTCTTATAAGGTGATTTTATATCAAGGATACTCGTATTCCAAACCTTTAATTATAAAGAATAAAAATTATTTACCACTCTATTACGATTCTGGTTAGCCGTCTAATGACTTGTTAGGAGTCAATGTATTCTTCTTAATACATTGTTGGTAAATATACAGTATGCCGACACCACATATAACCAATTTCTTTGAAGTATATTTAAGAGGGTGAAGGGTTGTTTCATCGTAGGGACTCGTATTATTGTGCAATAACACACAATGAAGGGTCAAATCAATGACTAGTTGTCAAAAATACCAAGTTCAACTCACCACAAATAGCTATAGAAATAATGTTTATTACAAGATTTTGATGCCTTTATTTATGATATTTGGTATAAAATTTCAATTCAATCCAAGTCTAGCGTCAGAGTTTATAGCTAGTAGCCTTTTCAGTGCTAAGCGTATAATTTCGTATTAAAATGACGATTCAAATTTTTTGACATGTAAAATATTGTATTTGACTAATATAAGACATCTGAAAATCTCTCACATCATTATGATAGTTTTTTTTTATTTTTTCTATCAAGTGTGTAGTCATTTCGTATTAAATTAACGATTCATATTTTCAATTCATAAAATATTCTATCAAAAGAATAGAAAACATAAAAAAATCTCTTAAATTACTACAATAATCTTTTTATTTTTTCTACTACGTACGCAAGTAATTTTGTATTTGAATTAGACAATTCAAATTTTTGACCCGTAATATATTCGATCAAAAAAATAAAACAAATTTTCAATCCATAAAATATTCCATCAAAAGAACAGAAAACATAAAGAAAATCTCTCAAATTACTACAATAGTCTCTTTATTTTTCCTACTATGTAAATCATTTTATATTTGAATTGAACGATTCAGATTTTTGAACCGTAATATATTCCATAAAAAAATAGAAGACACAAAAAAATAAATCAAATTTCCTATTTTTATCTTTCTACTAAGTGTATAGTCATTTTATATGAAACTGACGATTTAATTTTTCGACCTGTAAAATATTCTATCAAAAAAAATAAAAAGCTATGACTATTCAAATTTTCTAAAATATTCCATCAAAGAAAATAGAAGACAAAGAAAATCTCTCACTTATCTACTATTACTATTAATTATTTAGACCCCCCCCCCCAAAAAAAAATAAAAAAATTGCACCACCACGTTAATTACAACTCTAATTTCAATTTTTTTTTAAAAAAAAAACAAACTCTGATATTTAACTACTGATTTGGTTTTGTGGATTACTTTTAAGTAGATCATTAGAGTCATCATCACCATTCTTATGAAAATTATCTTTTCCAGTCTTGACAGATTCAAAAGTAGAATCAGTTGTGGCTGTAGCCTCTTTTATGGCATCTTGTGCTTTGTCCACTGTTTGGCTGCTAAAGCCTTGATGTTGTTTTTCCTCAGCCATTTCTTCAGCAACTCTTGTGAATTCTTCAGCTGTGGTTGGTGCTTTCTCTTCTGCATGATGATCATAATTTTCCTTGCTATATCTCTGCCTCCATATATTTATTAAAATTAATTAAGGGAAGAAATTAGAAGGATACAATATAATCATTAATAACACCACCACCTAGTGAGATCAGACTGTACGCAAATCTTATCGACGTGATATAAAGAGACTCAACTCAATAGTATACTTGGACTTGGATAATGTCTATAAACACACTTTCGATAATGTTCGTAATTACTTATTAGCTTTTGAATTAAAATATCGATAACAATGATCGATTGACATGTTAGGTTCACCATTTTACTGTATTAATTATGAAATGAATTAGAAACTTCAAATTTTTCTAGAAGTTTCTCCTTTTTTTTTCAATTTTAAAGTAATCAATTGAGGATATAATAGATAAAAATAAGAGGGATAAATAATTAAAGACAAACTAAAAAGAAAAGATCATTGTCTCTTTTTTCTTTTTTTGACTTTCAATCAGACATATTTAAAATTAAAAAATATTTTAATACATTCCACGTGTCTGTAATAATTTAAAATAACAAAATTCCCCGATTATATTCTTAAATTCTGAATTAAATCAAAATATAATCAGAGTATTGATAAATAAATTGAAATTGTAGAAGCAATAAAAAAAGAGAGAAGTTAATAGATACCCGTATAGTGTTAAGAAAAAAGGGCTGGCGCGGGCGCGCGAGTAATTTGATGCGCGAGATATTGCAAAAGTAGAGAAACTGATTATAGGCACCCATAGTTGAATGCTCCTCCTAACTTCTAAAACTTAAGCTAATTTCACTTCACAATTTACAATATGTTGTTACAATGAAGATAGGTCTTTTTAACACCCAATAAAATGTAAGTCTAGAGTTTGGCAAATTATTTAAGGATGAATAGACAATAAATTAGGGGCCAAGTGGCACACGAAGAGTCCAGCCTTATTAGCTTTGAACACATAGCACTACGTGGCGGATCGTTTTGCCTGCCTCGTCACAGTATCATCACTTCTCTAATTTTTCTTTATGGCTACGATCGATTTTTTCCTTTTTAAGTAGTTATCGCTTCTTTACTACTTTTTTTGGTGAACGGATAAAAAGTTATATTTATATCATTATAGGACTTATTTTTATTTTTAACTATATCATAAATTCTCGATTATTTTTGTTGAATCCATCCCATTGTTTTAGTCAACTTTAGCTATTCAATTGGTACAAACAATTGTTAAAAATGAATAATAATTGGAGTTGAAAAGAAAAGATTTGGTAGTTGGCAAATTGGTAAAATTTGCAATCATTTTTGACGTTGTTATGTTTACATATGTCATTAGTGACATAGGTATGATTTTATCCTTCTATAAATAGAGCATTCTTGCTTATTTGTAGAACACACCAAGTTAGAGAGAAAAACCATTTTGAGAGCAAAGTGAGGTATTCTATAGACTATACAAGAAAAATAGTTTGTGAAGAAAAATAGAGTGTGAGCGATATTTTAGTAAGACGGAATCAAAAGAGTGTTGTTCCTTTTGAGTGTGTAGTAGTCACATTGAGTGTTGTATTCGTGACTACACAGTGTAAAATTCCTTACTATAGTAATATCAGTTGCTCCTCTTGGCCCGTGGTATTTTCCCTTATTCAGAAGGGTTTTCACGTAAAATTCTTGGTGTCATTATTTTCTCATTTTATTTCTATTACTTTTACTATATATACTTTTGTGCTTGTCCGTGTTTTCCTAACAATTTTTGTATAATACCAATGATTATTGAGCAAAAATAATTTATCAACTTATTTGATGTCATCCTATTTCTATTATATATATATTTTTTGAAATCTATATAGCTAATTGAACTGATAATAATGAGTAATCATAAATTGATATTTTAGAACTTTTACATATACCTATTTAAAAATAGTTTAATTATTCTACATAGATATAATTTGATAATTATAATTAGTAGCTATATGCTATAGGGAGGAGAGAAGAGAGCGAGAGTGGGAGAGAGAGGATAGAGGCGAGACAGAGAGGGCATAGAGTGGGAGAGAGAGGATAGAGGCGAGATAGAGTGGGCATAGAGAGGGAGAGAGGTGAATTGTATATGCATATCGCTTAGATAATTGTGTATTATACATATGTATTTGTATATATGGCAAATGATATTGGGAGAGGGAGGAGAGAGGCAAACGAGATAGGGAAAGGGAGGAGAGTGGAGAGCAAGATTGAGAGAGAGACGTGCGAGAGAGGGCAGAGAGTGGCAGAGAAGTGAATTGTATATATATATATATATCGGTTAGATAATTGTATATTATCATATATATTTGTATATATGGGAAGCGAGATTGGGAGAGGGAGGAGAAAGGCGAGTGAGAGAGGGAGAGGGAGGAGATAAGCGAGTGAGAGAGGGAGAGGGAGGAGATAAGCGAGCAAGATAGGGCAGAGAGTGGGAGGAGGTGAATTATATATATATCGATTAGATAATTGTATATTCTACATATATATTTGTATATTATGATGAATTATACATATATAAACGGGATTAATTATACAAATTCGAAGTCAGTCCATATACATAATATTAGTTACAAGTGATAATTGTTACAAACTATAACTATGATAAGTAATTAAATAATTTAAATTTACTTAACAACATTACTTTTTTAGATTTTAATGATCTAATTTATCTATAAATCAATAAGCTTTAAAATCAAACTAAATCAATCAACGATAAGAGGACACAACAAAGCTTAGAATGTAAACATATTTCTTTAAAACCATTTTTCTAAAGCTTAGAATGTAAACATATTTCTTTAAAACCATTTTTCTTAATTTTAATAATTAAATTTCATTTGACCAAGTACATTGAAAAACTTAACCTAAGAGTTGACCACTTTTAAGAGGGAAATCGGGTCGATAGGGTTTATTAACGTGCGTTTATATCGTCAGTCCCTGTATTCACCAACGCCAAAATTTCTTCTTCGACAGCACAACAATATTCATATTCTTCCTTAGCTTCTATTAATGGATTTCAATGGCGTGGAAGCAACTCGTATTCGCCAGGAAATCGATCACTTGAAGTCCAAAAAGAGAAATATAGAGCAACAAATTTCTGCTCTCGAAGCGCAGCTTAATCAACTTGAAGTCAATTCAAGTACAGTGTGTCCACAGCCGCTTTCAAATGGAGATTTGAGCAATTCAAATGGTTTATCTCCCGATATGATTTACAGATACAGTCGGCACTTATTGCTTCCTTCATTTGGCGTTCAAGGTTCGGTTCAGTTCAATTTTGCAGTGAGGATAGTTAATTGACTTGAATAATTAACTATTTCTGTTTAATAATTGAGATTTATTGCTTGAAATAGGTCAGGCGAATCTATTGAAATCTTCAGTTTTGGTAATTGGAGCTGGAGGTTTAGGATCACCTGCTTTGCTATATCTTGCTGCCTGTGGAGTTGGTTAGATATGTAACTGAATTCGTATATTTTGCTCTCGAATTCAGAATTTGAAGTTAGTGAATGGAGCCGTACATTGTAGTAACTATTTATTTTTTTTTGAAAAGGAATTTTCGACTATGCAATGCTGTTGAGAATTACGTTTTTCGTATGGTATTTTGCAGGTCGAATGGGTATAGTTGATCATGATGTAGTGGAACTTAACAATCTTCAGAGGCAGGTAATTTTTCGATCAATAGCTATGTGTTGTATGCACGGGCTATTGAATTTGATGCATGCTGTTTTTGTCAAGTGATCTTGAGATTTTTGCTGTTTCTGTTAATAAGTTAATTGGCTATGGTGTTGACATTGTGCTCCAGATAATACACACTGAAGCATATATTGGAAAGTCAAAAGTAGAGTCAGCTGCTGCTACTTGTCGCTCGTAAGTCGCAGATAGAGTAATGTTGTTTTGCATTGAACCTGCATTTAATGTTCTAATTTATTTGTTTGTTCGTTTTAGGATCAACTCTTCCACTCAGATTGTGGAGCACAGAGAAGCCTTCCGCACGTCCAATGCTTTGGAAATTGTGAGCAAGTATGGTTTAGTAACACCTATTTATATATGGCTGCATGATATATTTCCTATATGCATCTCTTTTGATGTTTTTTTGTTGGTTCAGTTTCCTCTTTTGCTTCCGTAGAGCGGTGATTTTGACATTTCTTTGCTTAATGATCTCTCTCAGATATGATGTGGTAGTAGATGCAACAGACAATGCTCCAAGCCGCTACATGATCAATGATTGCTGTGTTGTGCTTGGGAAGGTTAGCTGTTTCTTGTGATGTTATCTTTTTATACAAATTCTGCTGGTACTGTGATATTTACTGAAAGCTGGATACGGAAATGCTATAGACTATACAATTGCCTTCTTATGCAATAATATTTCCTTCGATCTTTCGTGCTTAAGCTTACAGGAGGGTTTTTCATATAGCTATTACCTCACTTTTAAGTTGCCATGCTAATGTTCTGGTATGATGTTTGTAACTGTGGTAGGGAATATTTTTGCCTGTACATACCGACAGTGATCTCATGGTGCTAGTATGAAATTGATTTATGAGTTTCGTTTTTGGATGTTGATCCATTTTCTGATAACTGGCTTACTCGTATTAACAGCCTCTTGTATCTGGAGCTGCTCTAGGACTAGAAGGGCAGGTACCATTCCTGACACATTCATCATTCATCATTCCTGGAGCTTTTGTGTGTCCCTAAAACTTCAAATTTATTGGTAACTAACTCTGTACTCTGAATGATTTGTATAGCTGACGGTTTACAATTACAATGGAGGTCCATGCTATCGATGCCTATTTCCAACTCCTCCACCCACAAATGCTTGTCAGAGATGTGCTGATAGTGGTGTACTTGGAGTTGGTACGTTGTTCTTTTCTCAAAATAACCATCTAATCTACTGTCCTTTTTCAACAAGTGTCTGGATTCCTTAGATTATCTCATATTTTATCTCTTATGTGAAATTTCCTTAGTTTTCCGAAACAAAGTTCTCACTATGGTTTGTGTATTTGTTCAGTCTACTTATCTTGTTTATAACAATGGTAGAGCTAGGAGAGGAAAGAATTGATGCCATGTCAAACCTGGAATTTTTGGGAAATGCAACTGTTTTCTGTGTATTATTTGTAGGGTTCAATTGTGAAACATATGGTGTTGTCAGCGTGATATTACATTAGATCCGTCTCTCAGTTTTAATTTTTCCATTCACTTCAGTTCCAGGTGTTATTGGATGTCTTCAAGCCTTAGAGGCCATAAAGGTTGCTAGCTTGGTTGGAGAACCACTCTCCGGAAGAATGCTTCTTTTGGATGCGCTGTCAGGCCGGTTCCGTAATGTGTGTTTGATATTCTAATTTCTCATACTTGCTGTCACTTTGTTCTTTATTCTTTCTGAGCAGAGGATATGTTGCAGTCTTTTTTTGCATTCTGAAATAAGCAGTGAGCAAAAAATGAAATTAGGTAAAACTAAGGCGAGGTATAATAATAATTCTTTTGATAAATCCTTTTGGAATTAGCCAATAAACTTTTAAATCGATAGTAGGATGTGAAAAAAAGTAAATTACAGGGCAGATGATATCTGCAATCGTTATTGAAAAAAATAAAAGATTTTTCGAAGTAGCTAGCCCACAAGTACTTGCAATACATGTGTTTTACATCTATTCTATACATGTCTTGTACTAGTAATTAATTAGGACTTCCACAATCTCTTGCACATGTATCAATTTATTTGGAATATCTTCTTTCAATATTTATTTATTTTCCCATGTTGCTCTACCTATCTTATTTTTCTTTTGGCATTGTCAACATCTGAAATCATCATCTCTCTCACAAGTTTAGGTCAAACTACGTGGAAGGTCATTGCAGTGCGAAGCTTGTGGAGATGATGCAGTACTGACAAGGCAGACATTTTCGGAGTTTGATTATGAAAAGTTTACTCAAACTCCATTATCCACGGTGCATTTCATTTTCACAACTTCTCAATTGTATTTAAAACTGTATGCAAATGAGGACGTAG